TACCTAATTACATAGATGAGTTTTTTGTAGATTATCTCATAGGCTATAGTTGAGCTATTAAATATTTGTCTTTGATGTTCAACTTTAGACCTATCTGTGTGGGTTAGGTGAATAGGATTATGTAATAATAAATCTTGAAATCTAAGGCCAAGGGAGGCTTGAATTGCTTCATTTATTTTGGTCTGTGAATACCTCATCTTATTTTTTACTAGTTACAGTGTTGCTGAATTTCTTGCCCGCTCTCTCTCTCTCTCTCTCTCTCTCTCTCTCTCTCTCTCTCTCTTTACAAATAATGGCAACAATAATAATGGTATTAATGACTACCTTCAACAGATATCTACCACAGACCAAGCATTTTTACACATCTTTTAACATAAAAACCTTTCAAGGTAGATATTATTACCTCTATTTTATAAATAAGTAAATTTATAGTCAAAGGTTAAGTGCCTTTCTCAAGGTCATAGCTAATTAATGTCCAAGTAAACATTGAATCAATTCTACTTAGTTTCAAATCACAGCTCTTTTTCATCACAATACGCTACCTTTCTGTGAAAATAAGTATCTTTCCATATTTGGGATATTTGGTATAGACATCCAAAAATGGGATTACTGGTATAAAGTGTAAGGACATTTCAAAAGCATTCACTACACACTCAAAATAGCTTTCTATGTAGGAGATATCAATATATAGCCCCACCACTTCAAAACTTTTGCAAAGTAAGTTAACTTGAGGTAGAAAAAAGAGGTAACATCAATGAGTAACAAATATCTAATGTAAATAAAATGTAACTATCTACCCTCTGTAATAAAGGTTTCCACTCTTATGATCTGGTGGTAGCAAGTATTCTCTATCTCTAGATATGGATAGGAAAATACAAATACTTAGGAATAATAAATGTGTGTGAACAAGACCTAGCATATGGTAGATGCTCGAGAAGGTTAAGTTAAAAGGAATTGACATGAATTTCTGGCTCTTGATAGGGATGTGAAAAGCTGAAAGGAGTCTATCTCCCATTCTAAAGTCTAAAGAGAAATGAATATGTGCAAAGAGAGACTGGACATGATCACTGGCTCACCTGTGATTACTGATGAAAGAAGCTCAGTATAGAAACTAGTATTAAGAAATTCAGCGAAATTCTCGAACTGCTAAAAGCCAAATGTGGTTAGCATGAAAATACAGTACCCACTGGAACCCCAGACACAGAGAAATTTTATAAACAAAGGCTTTTTTTTTTTTTTCACAGAATCATAGTACTGACCTGGTGGAGAGAAATCACCACAGTAGAACAGTATGACACCATGTCAATTCCTTTTCCTTAAGGAACAAAAAACCTTAAGCCTTAGGAGAAGGACAGCAAACCCTGTTCTGTGCGGAGTAGAGATGAATAGATACTACAGCTTGGGGAAAAAATAAAACAAGCCTACTACTTCTGCAGTAGGGGTAGAACTTATTCCTGGGCACACAGCTGTGTCTCTGATCTAGCAGAGGAGCGGGGTGACCAAGAAATTCCCACTCCAAAGAGCTTGAGGCACAAGATATATACTCAAGAGGGAAGTATCAAGAGAGACTCCATCCTAGCTCCCCCACACCACCGGACAAACAGGTGCAATAACATCATACCTGCCACCAGAGGAGGCACTAGAGCATGGAGACACTATCTCTAAGACACTAAAGTACAGGGAAAGGTGAAAGCTGAGGGTGGAGCAGGGATACTGAGAAAAAACATCCAGCAACACAACCCCCATGTTAATCACAAGGTACAAGAAAAAAAAAATGAAGCTGTTGGTTAAGTGAGGGTAACCGCAGTGACAAGATAACACAAACTCTTCTTTTAATCAGATTGTTCCAGCTACCAAACTTAGTGAACCGCCAGAACAATTGGGTCCATTTCAAAGCCTAAATACTATCTATTTCAATCTCTACTCGTCTAAATACTATGTGCGGCATTAAAACAAAACTTTGAGAAGCAGAACAGCAAACAAACAAAGCATGTTCTCAAAAGACAAAGCAGTCTATATAACGAGTTTCAGAGGTGAATTGGGCATTCAAATTCTGAAAAGGAACATTTAACAAAACAATGATTAATATTTGAGATTTAGTGAAACATGTAAAACATGAATGGCAAGTGGAAATTTCAGATGTTAGTTATGAAAAATGTCAAGCAGAAATGCTGAAAATGAGAAACAGTAAAAGAATGCCTTTGATGGTCTCATCAGTACATTTAAAGCAGCCCAGAAAGAAATCAAAGAAAATAGAAGGTGAAATACAACCAAAACAAGGAGAAGAGTAAATGAATACACACACATGCAACCATTACGTGTGATTAATATCAAATGGTCAAACACGTATGAAATGGAAATTCTACCAAAAAAGCAAGGCAGAGAAATATTTGCAAAGATAAAGGTCAAGAATTTCCCCCAAATAATAATGTAAGTCATATATATCACATATCCACAAAGTTTGAAGAACCCCAAGGATGAGAAACACCCCATCAAGCATACATAAGCACCCCAAAATTTAAAAAACATAGATATTGCATATATAAACTTCCGGAAAGCAAAGATATTAAGAAATATCTTCAAGATCATCAGAAGGAAATCAAAAGAGCAAGGACAGGAATGACAGCATTGCAGAAACTGCAAGGCAGAAGAAAATGGAGTGGCATCTTTAGAGTGAAGAAAGAAAATAATTGTCAACCCAAAACACTATATCCAGTGTAAATATCATTCAATAAATGTAAAAGTAAACATTTTTTTTAATGTGAAGGCAGAGAATGCTTTACCAGAAATCCCGCATTACAGGAAATGATCCTCAGACTTAAGGAATATAAACCAAATGAAAATGGGTCTACACAAAGAGAAGATTTCAGAAACGATGCAAAGGAATCTATTTTTTTCTTTTTAAAGATACAAGATAACTTTAAGATAACTGACCAAATAATATGAAGTAGTTATTGAGTAGAGGGAACATCATATACAAAGGCAAAATATATAAAGCTATAACCATGGTACACAAGTGGGCTAACACACAATGAAGTGGTAGAGTAATATTTGTAAGGAGATTTTGACTAATTTTATATCCATATGTAAAAGTCTTGATTGTAGTGGTAAATACATTAATGAGTGTATTTGTACAAATTCATATATTGTACACTTAAGGAGGTGAATTTTACCAAATACCTCAAACAACTCAAGGTTAAAAATGAGAATCATTGTGTGCAATACACTTACCTTTTTACCCTCTTGACTTTTCTTCTTTTTATTGCATCACAGTTCTGATGACTGATAATGAGGAACCAGCTTCTTGTGTTATGTAAACTTACCTTGGCTTTTTACTTATATGACTGAGGTTTTTATTCTTAAATCTGGTGGTGGAGAGAGCACTATACCATTGAATCTGAACAAGCATATACACACACCCTGGCCAGGAATTAAAATGTGTCAATAGCCATGGAGATTATAACTGTGTCATAAAGGAACCTCTGTATATAAAGTGTAGTATCTATTACCTATAAGGTTTATGCATGAGGTGAAAATCACTTAGATCACACAGTAGTTAACTAGTTAAGTAGTTAACTGTTAACTAGTAGTTCAGTCTGGGGTGAAGCCTGAGGTAATGTAACCAATTTTATATCACATCACAATTTATAACTTACCGGTTCTGTTTATAAGTGAAGTCTGAATGGTTAGCAATAACTTTTGCCTATAATACTGTCATTCTCTCTGTCCCCTATACTCACCAAGATTCTTTGAGGACCCCTTCACCATGCTATTTCTACCACTCAAGTTCTATGTCCTAAGAACTTTACTGTTCATTTCAAAGATCTCACCATCCCACTCTGGGTAGATGAACTGAAAGAGGAAGCACCTTTATGCAAATGCAGTCCTAAAGGTGCAAGGCTTGGCATGTAGAGGGCACCCTTGTCTGAACTTCTAGAAAGAAGCCCATTCTGCTGCACTCATCACATATAACCTCCACACAGTCCATATGCAGATGACCTGTGTTCTGTCCACCATCAGAATGAACTTAAGAACTGGCCTGAAGAAGACAAACACTGCATTTGTCCAGAACTATACAAAGCTGAGAAAATGTCTATTCCAAATATAGATTGTGGAGGAAGGGCACCTTATCAAGGTGATAGGACTACTGAAGGATCCCCATCTTCAGGCCAACTTTGAATACTTTCCCAATCTCTTGGCTATTTTGCATTAACAACATTCTCCACAACTATACCTTTTGCCTGGTTTGATCATATTTGTCCTTCTGGTATATCAGCTTAACAATCACTTCCCCAGAAAGGTTGACACTGACACTTCGATCTACACTTGTATGTTTTTCTGTCACTAAGAATGTTCTTACAGAGAATATATTACAACTGCAATTATACAGCTATTTGTGTACTTATTTATGAAATCTGTGTGCCTCCCCACACCCCTATATATGCAGACACATTTAATCATTTGCATTTCTAGACACTGGAAGAGCAGAGACTTTCTGTTTTATTCATCACTTTATCCCCAGAAACTTTTACAATGCTGGCACATGCCTGATGTTTAATAAAGAATCATTATATAAACGCAGGTTCCTTGGTAGAGTTTTTAGAAAAATTCATCACACCTATGTGCAATTCATGTACATAGTATGACAAGGGATGCTATGAAACTTATTTTTGTAACATTCAATTTAAATGGACTCTAAGTAATTGTAATGGTGTAGATATATAATACAAAGCAAGTGATATTTTTATTTGAATTAGTTCCATTTTCCATTGGTGATGTTATAATAATCTGCTAATAATTTTTAGATCTTATATTTTCCACTCCCTTTGTAATCATTTTCACAGATGTCGACTACATCTCTCTCTCTTTTTTTTTTTCTGACTACATCTCTTACAGTTAAATGTTGTGATATGGCACTGCTTTTTTACAGCACATGGTTTCAACTGGCAAGCATTGTTATTAGAAAATTAATAATGAATACATTATCTAATCCCACTTACCAAATAGATCCTGCCATAAGTACCAAGGCCAATGGTTTTATCCAGTGAGAATATACCAGTTGGATCCTGTAAGATATAGAACAAAAGATGTCAATCTTCTTGTTAAAGTAGGAATTCAATTATTTAAAATGTTTTTCTAATCTTCTTCACTCCCTTAGAATTTCCATGTGAAAAACCAAAGCGTCATTTTACCAAAAGAATGGACATGTTATAACACGCCTGGACTGAGTGTACTCATTCATAAAAAAGAAATAATATGGACATTAAGTGATTATATAACTAATTTTTAGAAAACTGTCAGATGCATGCAATTATGTCTTTGTGTAGTATATCCACAATGTAATTAGAAACATTAAAATACAAATAAGTTCATTTACTTACAACTGAAATACACTTTTAATATCCAGTTTTTGAGTGCTAACCAAATAGGCAGAAACTTCAGGATACAACAATAATGAGCAGATGCTGAATAGAAAGTTTAGATAACTCACTTATATGATGCTTGGTTTTAACTAAGTGCACTTTATTCATTGAGAAGGGTGAAAGAGTAGGGAGCGCATTACATTCTTTTTTTTTTTTTCTTACAACACTGCTAATTTGGGGACAGTAGTCAATTTGTCACCTCAGGTGTGGTCACTGTAGTTCTCCCATCACCACAGCACTCGTGACGCATCTTCCCTTTCTCTCTTGTGCTCTTCCAGCCCCTGTTTTGACCCCTCTCCCTGGCCCTCTGCTGCTGTATACCTGTGGCCTATGGTCAGCTTGCATTCATTCTTGAGAATGAAATATGTCTCCGAAGATAAACAACAAAACTAAATAAGGTATTAAATGAACACTGTTTTTAAAGAATATTAGACAAATTTGTTTTTATTTTTGTATGTTGATCTTTACATCAGCTGAAAACTTTTCCTTGGAATGAATTTATGATGCTTTCTGTGTTTTAATGTTAAATGTGTTCTCTCGGGAGTCACAAAATAACATCATGATGGATAGAATTCTACAGCTTCCATATTCATCCTTAAACACTGTTTACTTACCTAAAATTAAGGATATCCCTTTCTTGCTCACCACAAAACATGAATTTTATCATTGCTTAAACTTTTTAGTCTAGCAGCTGATTTTGCCATTTTAGTGAAACATGAGGCCTGAGTTAATGCCCAATTTTGCATAAAGTGGTACCAACACTGGCAAATTCTAGGAGATTCACTTGTCTTCTAGAAAGCTCATTTAATATATACAAACTCTAATTTTGTTTTAAAAAAAAATATCACTGTGACCAATGTGAGCTCAAAAAGTCATGAGCATATATAGGCAATGTATATGATTGAAATTATAGACTCTTGAACACTAGGGTGAGATTTCAGTAATCTAGCAAAACTGTCATAGGAAAATGACACAGCTCTGTGATGACCTCAGTGAAGAAGTATTCACCCGGACAGAGACAGGAGACTTGAGTTTTAGCTCAGCTCTGCCATTAATTAACCATATGACTGTGGGTGAGTTATTTACTCTCTCTTGGACTTAGTTTTCACATGTGTAAAATGAAGGTGCTGTGTTAGGTAATTTCAAAGCTTGAAAACTCTACAGGAAAATTTCAGATTTTACTATTTAAGAATCTACAGGTGTCCAGACGAATGATATGAAAATTGTTAGAGAAAACAGCAAACTTTTTAAAAATCATCAGCAAAATCAGTGTCAATATATACAAAACAGCATTACAATCAAATAATTCAGGGACTATATTGGCAATGAAAATATAAACATTATCTGAAATGATAATATTAAGTGCTCAAGAGAAATAAAAATAGATAATTATAGTAACCTTGATATTAACCAAACCATTTTTGTTATAACTCACTGAGATTTTTATGGAAAAAGTTAACCAACAAAAAATAAATTAATAGGGTTTGATTTGAAGGCTTTATCACTTTAGCATATTTACCTGAAGGATATCACTCAGGAAATTATAACAAACAATATCAATTTTAGGGAAACAGCAAGTGGATATGTCAAAAGGATTAGAATGTTAACTAACCCCTGTTAGTAAATCACTATTAATAGTTAATGCTGCATTTTAGCTGAAAAATATGACGTCTATTAGAGAATTACCGCACAATATGATGTTACTTCTGAATCTTTGAGCAGTTACATTTCTTTAAAAAAAAAAAAGATTTATTTATGCATACCGAACTGGGGTACAGGCCATAGGTACAGGGGCGGTAAGAGGCTTCACCAGAGACAGAGTGGGGCGCAGAACAGACAGATACACGAAGTACACTGCTGAGGGGAGCAGCGGGCAGGTCAGGAGAGGTCCGCTGCGCCATGTGGGTCACCTCCGGGGCTGGGGATGGAACTCGCACTGAAGCGGCTGCATCTAGCTTGCAGTGCCTAGTCCTTACGCATTGTGCCACCGGGGAGGGCCCACAACCTTACATTTCTTTACTACTTCTTCCAGTCCTCAGTAACATGGATACCTTACTTAGATTTGAATTCAGGTATCCAATTACTCAAAAGAACCAAGGAAATGGAATGACACTATAAAATGCTTGTAGAATTAACTGAAGTTTTAGTCTATCTATGTTGACGCTATTCGGAAAAATGTTCCAGCTCACAAATGACCAAAATATCTCAATTTGCTCACGTTCACATTTAATAAAAGGTGATTTTAAATTTTCTTCTTTTCTTAAAGGCACCTAAACTTAGTGTTCACCTATTTGAAGAGTATTTTTCATAAGTCTTATGCCGTATTTTTTGTTCCCCATCTCTATACCACTATCCTTCAAGACTAAATAATTGCCAGTGTTGGCGGTGGGGAAGAAGATGAACTATGCTAATTTATAGGCCAATATTACTCAACTTCTTATCTCATATAAGAATTGCAGGAAAAGACATTCTGGCCTCTGAAGGAACAATTAAAAGGGTGTTTTTTTTGGGGGGGGGTTTGGTCATTGTGAAACTGAAAGGTCCACATTAAAGGGATCTCCACTATTTACTTGGTCCTCTCCTCGGCCCTGCCACCCACAGATAAGAAAATCAAAAGAGGAAAGATCTTTGAATCTATGACTGCTATACCAATTTGGAAATTATTTAGTGGCTTCATATGTGTTGATGCTCAATTTGGATAAAAAATAAGGTGGTCAGCAAACAAGAATCCTAACTTGTAAAACTTTCTCTCAAAGGAAATTATGAAAATTTTAAATCTTAAAATTTTTTGAAGCATAAATTGTTGAGCAAATTACTTTCTATTTTTTTTTGCATTTATCTACATATCTAAATTGTCTCCTGAAATTAAAAGCCCTGGTCGACCCTCCCTGGTGGCGCAGCGGGTTAAAGCACACCACAGAGAAGCTTAAGCCACTTCCGCATGTGTTCGATCCCCGCCTGCCCTTAAGGAGATCCACATGGCGAGGTGGACCTCTCCTGGCCTGCCCGCTGCTCCCCTCAGCAGTGTACTTCATTGATCTGTCTGTTCTGCTCCCCGCTCTGTCTCTGGTGAATCCTTTCACCCTCCGCATCTCTGGCCTGCACCCCAGTTCTGTATGAATAATTAAAAAAAATTGTCAAGCTTATAAAAAAAAAATCCTCAAAATTAAAAAAAAAAAAAGCCCTGGTCTTGTTGTCCCTTCAAATCCATAATTTTGGGATGTTGTTTCTGTCTTCTGAACTCAAGGCACAGAGGAAAGTACGAGTATCCTGAGAAATCACTGTATTAAAGGCAGGGAGCAAGGGTAACAGGAAGAAGAAGAACCACTAGAAGGCAGTGTTTCCTGGTCACTTAACATATTCAAAAATAGAGAATGAGGGACAGAAAAAGGCACAGAAGAGATTAAAAACTAAAGGGAACCAATAAGTGACAAATGGGTAACAAGAAGTAGAACAAGGAAATACATTCTGGTAGTCAGACCAGAAGAAAGGAGATTACAGAAAGATTACTTAAGAGGAATAGTGGAGGGCCCTCCCTGGTGGCGCAGTGGGTTAAAGCACAGCACAAAGAAGTTTAAGCCACTTCGGCATGAGTTCGATCTCCGCCTGCCCTGGAGGAGATCTACATGGCGAGGCAGACCTCTCCTGGACCTTCCGCTGCTCCCCTCAGCAGAGTACTTCGTCCATCTGCCTGTTCTGTACCCCACTCTGTCTCTGGTGAATCCTCTCACCCTCCGCATCTCTGGCCTGTACCCCAGTTCTGTACGAATAAATATATCTTAAAAAAAAAAAAGAGGAATAGTGGAGAATTTTCCTCTTCCCCGCCCCCCCTTTTTTTAAATATTAGAGAGAGTGATTTCATGGAAAGAGACTGTGAATATGGTGACTATGACACAGTAAGTGCCCGGAAGAGCTTCAGAGATGGTAAAATGAGCCAGCTTCACCATACATGTGAAAATTTTAGAAAGAAAAATCTCTCCTTTACACTTGTATTTCTCAAACTGGATGACAGAGACTCTCCCTACATGAGAATCATTCAGGGAATCTTAAGACAGATTCTTTGTCCCTATCACAAAATTAAAAATCATAATTTCTGAAGATGTGTCCACAGATAACGCTTGTGCACTAACATAAAATTCACTGCTTTAGATACTAGCAGAAAAAAAAATATTGAGAAAATGCATTGAAATCCAATGTCATATTGAGGCGATGCTCCAGAATACATAATGGAGGATATGTTGGGTGTTTCAATCCTTGTTGATGAGAAAGTAAAGCTACTTCAAAACAGGAGGGTAAAGGGCATGATAATGTGGAACAGGTCTCATAACTAAGTGTGGAAAGCAGCCATGGTCTGGGGGGTGGAAGCCTGCAAGAGCTGGCAGTTATATTTAAATATAAACCTAATGCAATTCAAATATAGTTTTTGGATCATGTGCTATTTCAGATCATCTCTGCCACTACTGTCCTGCAGGCCTGTCTAATCCTGACCCCAATATAGATTAGGACTACACATGCCAGTGTCAAATACTGAAGGAATGTCATACCATACTGGGCACAGAAGGCAAAGGGGACAATCATAGTGAAAGACATGCCAGATTTGAAGATGAAGAAATAGTTTCCACTCTCAAGGATTGAGTGACATAGGCATACTATTTAAAACACACACACACACACACACACACACACACACTCTGCTGGATTGCTGGCAGACAAGGTGAAATATATAGCTCTATACAGATGGATACAAAGATATAAGGTTTTACAATTTTCTTTTCAAAAGGAAGCAGAAAATACATTCTTGTTTTGCAACCTAAAAGCAATATTTAGTTAACAGTAAATCAGAAAAAAAATGAGAGCTCGACATTAAGTAACAAGCAAAATGCAGCTGATCTGTCATTGGCTAACTTATGTCTCTAGCTACAGAGCATTATACAAAAAAAAAAAAAAAAAAAAAAGTTCATCCTCTCTCCTGCTTCCCTAGTGTTCACTCTTCTTTACTACTTTAGCTTTAAAAATACTATCCATCTGATAAGAAAAATATCAAATAACCTTTCACAATTTTCTTTAAATCCCAGTTTGCAAAGGAAGGTTTGCTTTATGGTCATTTAGCTGTCCAGCCAAAATAGGACACAAAGTATCAATCTTAAACTAGACCCATATTTAATAATTCTTTACTCTGAAAGATTTTTTTTTTCTTGTTGAGAAACTCCAAGATCTGACTCTCCCCTCATTATCCGACTGTTGCCAAACTGGCACAACTGATATTGACAGATGCCAACTTTCTAATCTCCATATATACTTACATAGATATAGATACATCTACACTCATATCCAATTGAGGATAATGATTGCAAAGGATCCCACCATTTGCAGATAACTTTGCTCACTGTATTATCTGTACTTTGCATCAACATGAAAACTTCTAGCTACCTACATGTCTGTTTCTCTTGACCTCATTTATTTTTACTTCTTTAGTGGCTCGGAAAGTAAGTCAAAATGCAACAAAACCCCAAATGAGTAAAATACACCTCCTGTGATCAAAATAACAGTGAATTTTTCACATTTCTAAGAATTTAACATAAATGAAATTGTGGAGAGAGCTTCGCCTCTGCTAGATTTCTGAGGGTTTAGACTGGATGTTTAGAAAGAATTATGCATAATTTGCTGAGATGGTGAAGACCTCCATAAATGAGACAAACAGCTCCTATATGAGAGAAATTTAGAAATTGTTAGAAATTGAAGACTTCATAAGGTTTTCATGAAGTCTGCAAAATGGAGCCAAGCATCAATGCCCTGAGGTTTTGTGTCTTCTCCCTACTTTTCCCACATTAAAAACCAACCTCATTTTTCTCCCCTCCACGCCCCTATTAGCCCTGAGAAAACTAATAGTCCACTGAACTGCAATATAAAGATTGCAGCCTTTCCCTTATCTCTTAGGCTCTCACCAAGTTCTTATGTCCCAGGGCCATGACCGGGTCACTTAGTCTGGGCCATTTCCCCCCATTTTTTGTGGCAATAAAACCTTTTCTTTCTTTACTTGGGTTTGCAAATCCTGGCCCTATCATTTCTATGAGGTCTTTCCCATTCCTTTCCTTAGTCAATTTTAGAAAATAGTTTACTTCAACTTGCCCATGTGTGGTTTCATGTATTTGCCCTAGTTTGCTTTTTTCCTCTTTCCCCAAATGCACAGAAAAGGTTAGAGGAGGGTAACATTTCATTCGTTGGTTTTACACTTTTATTAGGGAGCAAATCTAGTCAGAATATGAAAGTTCTGTTCAGAAAGGAAACCACCAATTGAGGCCTCCATGTTCCAGAAATTTCATGTATGCAGTGGGTGTATGCAGGGTGGAAAAATATTTTAATTTTAAAATATCCTGTGATTTTGTTTTATGAAGATGCATCAATAACCGCTATGTTAATACTGTTAATTCTGTTTGAGTTGAGGTCCCCCCCCCTTTTTTTAAAGTGTAAGAACAATTTGCTAAATTTTACCCACATGCATCACTTCCTCCTCCACACCATTCTAGTGGAAAACTGTATAGGTGAGGCTCGGGCAATGTCCCATTTTTGAAGGGACAGCCATCTGCCATCAGCAAGAAGACAATCTTTTAAATACCAAATATGTATAAAATTAAGGCACTACGACTTTGAATAGTCCTATAACCTCAAAGTTAATATTTAGCTTTCCCCAAAGCAAGCGGGCCACTGCTCTGAACTACAGTTGCCTGGCGATCATTCCAGCACCGTGCAGGCTTATTCCCTTTGAGAGTGTCCAGGGCCCTTTGCATTCAAAAGAGGGTGCGAGTGAAATGCCAATCTAAAAAGGGAACTTGAAAAACGGATTTGGGTGGGATCCAATATCAGCCAGAAACCAGATGCCAATGAAATAAACAGCGCTGCTAAAATAATAAAGTCTACTAATAATGACAGCGATAATAGCTCACCAATCAATTATAAATGGAGGAAAGCTGGGCATTCGGAAAAAGGGGAATCCACAAACGAAAACCACGAGAAAAAGTTAAATCTGGTTAGCTAGTGCTAGCAATACTTTTTTTTTTTTAATGGGGTGTGCAGAATTCACTTCTTCCCCAGCGGCGTCGAGCTCTTTTGCTCCTGCAATACTAAATCAGGAACAGTGCCCTGGCAGAATAAGGTTTTAGGAAGTGCTATTAGAAAGTGAGAGAAATTAGACTCCAACACTTTGATTTTCTAGGCTGCTGTCGCCTGGAAGGTCACTCTGCTAGTGGTCACCACCTTTGGCAAAAGAGGCAAACGACGGGGCGACGGGGTGACAGGGAGGAGTGTTCTGGGGAAACCACCAGTGGTCGCGCTCTTTAGCCTGTCCCGGAGCCCCGCTCCAACAGGTACCCGAGCTTCGCCGCTGCACAAAACCGGCAACATTTAGGAAACGCCTCGCAGCTTAGCAGCTTAAGGCCCCAGCGCCCCCCCCCGCACCCCGCCACACCCGCCGCTTGCCCCCGCGCCTCACCCCCGACGTCCCGTAGCCTTTCCACGAGTTGGGCGCGGCCGGGGTGCCCCGGGAGCGCCCAGTTCCGCAAGCCCGCTCCCCGGGGCCGGGGTCTCCTCCCGCACCCGCCGTCCCGTCGAAGTCCTGGCCTGACACGGCCGGCCGGCGTCCGTCGCCTCCCCGGGTGCTTGGAACCTGAAGAACAGAGCACTTAGGGGGCGACAGGGGGGCTCGGGCGTCCTCTACTCACCGGCAAGTGGCCGAGATCCGTGACCTCCTTGTCCCTCCAACCCCCTGGTCCTGCCATGGCTTCGAGCTGAACTGGAGCAGGAGACAGAGTCAGGCACACTCGGGAGTCTGAGGTGCCGACCGGGCAGACGTGGAAGTGGGGAAAGGAGAAGGGAGAGGGCTGGGGAAAGGAGTGGGGGGTCGGGGTTTGTGGCGAGGGAGGTAGAGGAAGGGAAAGTGGAGGGGAAAGGAGCAGGGAGTGGAGTGGAGCAAAGCCGGAGCCGGAGAGGCGGGAAAGCAAGTTTAGCGAAGGCTAGAGCAGAGCCTGAGTGTCCGAGCTTCCAAGCGACCGTCCGTCCGTCCGTCCGTCCGGGAGAACGAGAGCGAGAAGCCCGAAGGGTGCTCCGCAGACGAGCGCGCACAGTCTGGCCCCGCGGGGTGCGCCTCTTTCAGGGTGGGGAGGGGGGCGGTGCAAGGGGCCCCCTCCTCGGCTGCCGCTCGAAGGCGATTGGTGCAGCGTCACGTCGCCAGGTGGGCAGCCGCGCGGCGGGGAGGCGGGCCAGGGGGCCCGCGGGCCGAGGGAGGTGCCCGGGACTGTAACGGTCTGCGAGTCCGCCTCGGCCGCCTCCGCACTCCCACCCCCTCCCACGGCCACTGCAGCGCCTGCAGCGCCCGCCGCCCCCGCCCCGCCCCCCGCCCCTGCTGGCGACTGTTCCGCAGGAAACTTTTTCCAGGCAGCTGCCAGCCCCGGAAAACCGGTCCCGCTCCGCGCCGCTCCCAATCTGGGCCCCACCGCGCTGCCACAGTCCAAACAGCCCGCGCCCTCAGCTCCCCACGAACACTTGTGACTTTTCGACTTGTCGGTTTTCTCTTTCCGCGCCTCCGATTTTTATGGCTCGGTTTATTGCAAAGCCCCATCGAGTTAAATGAGGAAAAGACTGGCCGCCGGGTGAGGGATCAGATCTAGGCGAGCTCCGGTGTGGGCGGGGAGCGAGGACCCTGTGCGCCGCGGGGCCAGCACAGCTGGGCCTTCGGAGCCCCTAGGCAGCCGAAGGCAGCGCAGCGAGCACAGGGTCGTGGTTTGAAGCCCCCTCGAGGTGAGCCGCATCTGGTCTGGCTCCGGGCCGATGGGTACCGGGCCCGGGCCGCTCAGTCGGAACCGCACCTGTGAACAGGTGCTGGGGTTAAGAAAGGGTGACGGAGTCTCCCAAGCCCCGGCTACCCGGGCCCTAATTTTGCAGATTGCCGGGTTCTCGTGGCAGCGGGCAAGTTACTGCGTCCCTCCCAGTCTCTAGCGCGCCGGCAGGGTTTCATTCATTCCTGTTTCGTTGCAAAACGTTTCTGGGTGCTCAGGCTGTTCGCCTTCGTTTCCTCACAAAGCACCGGGGCTGGAGGACAGGGGCCCCTCACACACGGTTTAAAAGTACCTGATAAATGGCAATTTACCCTTGAGAAGTAAAGCGCCTCCTGAAGAGTTTCTGGGAAAATGAGTCGGTGCATAAAACTAGTCTCATTCTAAGACCGCGCACTGCAAGGAACACTTTAGAAAATGTCCTGAAGCTGCTCACTTTCCCGGGAGCGAACAGACTGTGTTCAGTGCACCCGCACTCCTGGGTCGGAACGCGATGTGGCTGGGGTTTGTTTCCTCTTTCTTTTACAATTAAGACATTTTTACCTCCTCTAGGAAAATTTACACGATTAATTCTTCCCACCGACATCGAGCTTACCATTTCTGACTCACAGTTCAAACTTTTGTAATTTTGCTCTTTATGTATTGGTGGAGTTTGTACATTTCGTGTCTGTTTGAATGCCGGAGAGTGACCTCTTTACATTCCTTAACCTTCGAGCCTCTGTGACTTTTGCAATGGCCACAGCCTGAAAAACCCGGTCTCGTTAAATAAAGAAAATTCTCTGTTAACGGGTGCGGAGAAAACCAAACACCTCCTGCCCCCTAAAGCAAACCCCGATGTTCTGGATTAAATTTTTGTGAAATTCAAATATGATGGAAACTAGAAAGAAATGACATTTTCCAAGAATTCAAATCTTCACAACTCCATTGCACAAAATCTTGCCCTTTTATAACATAGCTTCAGAATTCCTGGGTGATCAGTAAAACTCTTCGGGATTTTGCTAAATATGAGTCTGAAAATAACATTTCAAAACTAGAGATGGGCAGGTGAGCTAGTTCATCGAAAGTTACACTTATAGTCATATCCAGTTTTCAGAAATGAAGGCACGGAGTAAACAAAAACAACATTAAAAGGAATTCTTTGCTACTAGGAGGAGACATTTATAAGTAGACTTTTTTTTTTTTTTTTTCATCATGCGATTTGCTGACGGTAGGGTGTGGGGAAATGCCCGGTTGCCCCCCATGGTAAAGACTGTTTTAGCCTGTCTAAGGGACATGTCCAGACCAGGCAAAAGAATCCAGGCTAGATCTTTGGGCTCTCTAGTTGCAAGATTCCGCGGGAAGCTAGCGGCTTCCTGACTCCATGGGGATTAGCCACATCACCGGGTGGGACCCCCTTCTTGGGGGAGGGGCAGCTAGGTGTTTGACCAGAACTTGACAGAGAAGCTATACATTTTTTTAAAGTTATTATTATTTTCAAGGGAAAAGGGGGCATGGAATAGCATGGAAACTTTGCCTTGTAAGCTTGGGTTATGGGCAATTTTGTGGCCGCCTTGGGGAAGGTCACCCTGGTTAGTAGACCAGCAGGCAAATAGATGGCCCCCAAACTTGAGGCTCAGCGTTGAGCAAAATCTTGAAATAGGGTACTTGTTTTCCAAATCCAGGACTTCTTTTGCTCTCATCCCACAGCCGTCACTTCCACTCCCCCTGCCCCCTTTCCAAAGTGGTTCTTTTTTCCTCTCTCTGTTTCTTTCCTGATCTTAAACTGCATGAAAATAACCCCAGTCCATCCAGGGTCTAGGAACTTGTCAGATTGTGTTTTACTCAGAAATAGTTTCTCTGCCAACACTTGTATGTCCCATATTTTTTGCTTTCCTCTCCAATTCATGTTGTTATCTTAAGGCCCGGGGTGCTTAGTAACTTTTGATTGTTGGTATGTTTTTTAATACTCGTTATATTCTGGACTGAGTGTTTTTATGTATTATCTCATTTAATTTTTTGTCAAAAATTCCTCCAGTTTGTAAATCATTATGTCCATCTCATAGGCAAGGGAATGGAAGCTCAGAGAATTGAAAAGACTTGACCATAGCTTCACAGCTAGTAATTGGAGGAGCCTGGTGTCCAGTTCAGGCAGTCTGACCCCAGAACCCACTTGTCCCTTAGTCCCTTCCTTGGTCGGTCCCTCCCTCCCTTGCTTGGTCAGTCCATGACTGCTGAAGGGCTGCTGCATATTTTGAGACTGTGTGAAGAGGAGCCAAATACAAAAAAGCCTAAGGGTAGAAGAGATCAGATGACATTTGCTAGGCCCCTGAGCTATCCAGTTCCTCTTTCTCCCTTTCAGCTTTCAGAAATAACAAGAATTTTTTTGAAATGTAAAGGAACTTTAATACAATCGGTGTACAATACAGCAAACGTAAAGAATACAGAAATAACAAGGACTGTATATAAAAAAAAATGGAACCCATCATGGCTCAAGAGTAGCCAGTGATCTGCCTAAGCAGAGATTACCAGTTAGATCACCTCATAGAGAAAAGCATGGATTTCAAGCTTAAGAAACTTCCAGAAGTGGAAAAAAAAAACAGTAATTTTCAATGCTTTAAAAATATTAAAATCTATTCCTATTCCTTCAGGGGAGTTTTTTGGCTGAGAACAAACCTTATTCAGTGAAGGCTTGAAGGAGACTGTGTTTGTGAGCAATGGTGCTTAGCAGCCCTGAGATGCTAAATGGCTAGGTTACAGCCATTTAGTACTGGGATATGGTGCCAAGGGCATGAGTTTGATCCCCTGGAGGGTCAGTGTGCATCTCTCTGCTCTGGTCTTTGATAGCAACCCCTTTCTGGTCAGCCAAAGATGCCTTTTTTGGAAAACCAACTCTAAAATCAATACTTTCATCTTTGTATACAAATAGCTGCTCATTTATTTTATTCATCTCAATTGCTAATCACCATAAGCTGGAACAATTATACTGCAAGAACATCTGTATGTCAAAATATATACTATACTCAAAAGATCCTAAGTTTTTAAAGGAATTTTTTGCTTACACATTTTTGATTGGCAACATATATCTTAATAGATGCTTTAAAAAATGAATCTCAAAAAGTTTAAGCATTTAAATATACAGAAAGGTCTGTCATTTACTGTCACACATTTGTGATTACTAGCAGTGAGGGTTGAATATCTCCCAATACACCTATGAGGGGTTGGGGTAGTCTGAAAGAGTCCTTGACAGTGGAAACTCCTTGAAACCAGGCTTAAGGCACTTCTTGAGATTTTCTTTTCTATGGAGACACCTTTGCAACTACAGGCTTTCTACTGCACTCTCCAATACTCTTACCACTACTCCTTTTGAAATTTCTAATATGCCACTCCTCTGAGGACAATGCAACAACCACCTGATGTTCCTCAGGCGAAAGGTCATGCATTATGCCTTTTGACCATAGTTTGCAAAGCTTCTGTCCCGTGTCATGGAATGCTCTTAAGCTCAGCATGATTTGAGCTATGCTTGTTTCTAAAACGGGGCCCTGGAAACCTGATCTTAACTGAACATGGGTATCATGGCTATTGAAATCTGGAATGTTACTCTTAAAAAAGGCATTTTTAAAATAAAGAAAAATAAACAGGGTAATTAAATCTGAGTCAAATAATTTTCTGAAGTTGGTCAAGGGGGTTCCTTTTTTCTCAGTCCTTCCTCTTTGGAGGCCTTACCATCCTAGTCCTGAAATTCCCAACCCAGCAATTGCATTGCAGTCCAGTCATCCTCTCTCTCTCTCTCTCTCTCTCTCTCTCTTTTTAAGATTTATTTTATTTGTACATACAGAACTGGGGTACAGGCCAGAGGCTCAGGGGTGGTGAGAGGCTTCACCAGAGACAGAGTGGGGAGCAAAACAGGCAGATCTACGAAGTACACTGCTGAGGGGAGCAGTGGGCGGGCCAGGAGAGGTCTGCCACGC